AAATTGACAATTTATTTGTCTAATAAAAAAATCAATTTTTTTATTCTCTAGGTCGTTCCAGTATTTTAATCGATGATTATTTATCTAAATATATATATATATATATATATATATATATATATATAATATAAGGAGTTATCAATACCTATTCATCTATCAAAGTTTACCTTCCTTGAAAGATGTGTGTTCGCGCTATATGAGCTCCTTGCTCAAATTGTTTTTTCGTGCGCGATCTCTGCTATCACCAGTAGAAATTTTAAATCTCTCAATCAATAGCCGAACACGTATGGGGAAACCCCCAAAAAATCCAACATGTGTCACCGGGTGCATGACAGACAAGGTGCACGCTGGTGTCATAAAAGCGGGGACTAGTCGACGGTCGCGTCGGTTAGCCGAGGGCTTTAGTAAGAGAAAGGGTAAAAAAGGTCCGAAGTCTCCGTGCAAACCGAATGGAGGTAGGATAGTGCGTCGTCCTCTAAGATCCTGATTGGTCCTTGCATGAGACCCCAAACGAGAAGGAGGAATTTTCGCACACTCGATGCTGCGGAAAATCGTGAACAACAGTTAGTTGCCTCTGGAGGATAGACAAGTCTGCTTCGCTCTCTCTTTGCGCCCATTTTTTTTCGGGCCGATAGACTCTTGGATCTATGTATTAAGTTTGGTGTGTGATTTTGTGTGTGTACGAGAACGCTTTTGTTCAACAAGCTTATGCGAAGCTGTATCCGACCCGGTGTCGTACCTCGAGGTCTAAGGACAGGACTGCCTGCTGCCTTGGGAGAGGACGTGACGCGTACTCTGGGGTGTCCCTAACCACGCGGCTTTGCACATTCTCTTCTCGGTTACGACGTAGCGAGGGCTGACCCGTTACCGAGACGTTGGAGCTACCGAGTGCCTTATAGCATCCTGGGGACATCTTCCTAATCCATCGTCTGTGCGTGAGAACTTCACCCGGGTAAGCGTTAATCATTTGAATAGCCATTCAACTGCGTACTTATATAACCTGATCGAGTCTCATTTAATTAGTATCGTGACATTGCTCTGTTTTACCTTTGGTTCTGTTTATTTTTATTATTTGATTTATTGTATTTTTATGATTGTTTAAATGGCTTTTTCCCCACTTACGACTGAAATTTTTTATGCCGGCTGACAATCATTGTTTATTCTTTTAATAAAAGTACTTAATTAGAGAATGATTGATTCTGTTATTAATGCATAGTAAACCTAAGCCTTATTATAATAGTACGATATTATTCGGACTTGTTAACAAAGGTAACATTATTCATTTGACTTTGCGTATCCGATTCGTACTTGCACCTCTATCAAGTATACAACGTGTAAGGAAGGAGTTATAGAATAGTTATAGGGTGCTTAACGATAAGTATTGAAAGGATCAAGCGCGTCCGGAAAACAATGTTTTTCGAAATCAACCTATCGTTATGTGGTTACTACGCTAGAATTCATTATTTATTTCGTATTATCCCATTCGTGACGAGTTAGTGCAAAGATTAATAAGCTGATAGATAGACAGAGAGAGAAAAGAAATGTCACCTAATTTCGCGCGAGCTTTTTATGACTGTTATTTCGTTTTCATTTCAAAATACAAGTAGTGATGATAAGAAAATGGAATATCTACTGATTAAAGGAAGAGAGGTGAGGATTAAAGTCGAAGCTGAAGAAAAACGTTTAAGAGAGAGAGAGAGAGAGAGAGAGAGAGAGCGAGAGAGATCATCGTGCTGAGTCGACACTGGGCCAAGAGAGCTAGCGGAATCATTCCGCAATTTCGTAAAGACCACAAGCTCGAGCAAGTCGTGCATTCTAAATTCGCAACGGTGCAGACATCGAAAATTCGGAGGCACACGTGAGAGTAGTAGGTCTGCGGAGTAATTGTACACCTGGCGAGCGTCCCTCCTCTCTCCGACCTTTTAACGCTTTGGAATGTAAGTAGTTCTATATCGGACATTCCTCTGGGGTTAGGTCCGCTCATTCGCTGAGTGCACACGCCGAGACTGAAGTACTTACTAATGGAAGGGTCATATAAATCGAGCACCCAGGTCACGTAAATGTAATGGATTCCTTTTATTCTTCTTCTTTTCATGTATTTTCCACAAATGTGCAAGCAACGTAAAATACTCTTTCTACTTCGATCTTCGATACTTCGACTGATAAGAAAATCTTTAGAAATGGAATTAAATTTTTCATTACTGTATGTTGTTTTTTTTTTACAATCTTGTGCGAATCAACGAATCTATTAAAATAATATGTAGGTAGTTCGCATATATTTCAAATCAAACTAAGCTATATCTCTCTGGCTAATAAGTTCTTGATTTTCAAGTACAATTACTAGTGTTTATTCAACGGAGCATCGAGTTGGAGTGGAATTTGTCGGTTGATGAATTTGGTAAAGAATGATAGAACAGCGTGAACGATGAGCCTAACTTTATGATAGCTGATATAATGAAGTTTCTGCAGAACGTAAATTGCGGGATATTTATTTCAAAAACTTTAGCTCAGTAATCAGCTACATATATGCAGTGTGTAATTAAGGTGAATTAATTGAAACCACTTTGCTAAATTAAACAACTGAATTTCGATAATGATCTAATATATACATGTCACTTGATCCAATTACAATGATTTACGATTCTTATACCCTGGAATTTGAAAATAAGCTGTTATTCAAACAATACTTCAATAACAAGACTTTATACATCCCACAGCGTAAATTGATCGATCAAGATACGAATACCTGGCGATCTAGTTCGAAAAGGCAAACAGATGCGCTGCCCTCGAGGCAACGTGGATATTCGGCATTTTTCATCGATTTCACGCATATACACTCACGATATGATAGTCCTGGGGGGAACGTGCATAGGCATGACGGGCATAGATACCTACGCGTACGCAAGAGAAAATCAAATTGAGTTTCGCCGCAGTTGCAGACGCGCGCGGTCCGCTTAACGTCCCAATTGACCTCCCGAGAAAACTCGATTATTCCTCGGCAAATCGTCGCTCACCCAACTCCATTTCTCTCTCTCTCTCTTCTCTCTCTCTCTCTTCTCTCTTCTCTCTCTCTCTCTCTCTCTCTCTCTCTTCTCTCTCTCTCTCTTCTCTCTTCTCTCTCTCTCTCTCTCTCTCTCTCTCTCTCTCTCTCTCTCTCTCTCTCTCTCTTCTCTCTCTCTCGCTCTTCTCTCTCTCTCTCTCTCTCTCTCTCTCTCTCTCTCTCTCTCTCTCTCTCTAGCACTGTGTCTCTTCTCTATGGGTCTTTATAGAACGGATGCGACACCCGATGGGATATACGAGTACGCGCGACGATTCCTATTAGCCGAATTCAATATAAACGGAATGTTGCAGTATAAACTCGTGGTTGATTTGTTGGACCTGAGCTTATTCGCCTGTGGAATATTTTTTTATTTTATAAAACTAAAATCCAGAACAATTTCTTATTCGTGAATCATTTCATGTATAACCTATAAGTGTGTAGAACCAAAGTTAGTACATTTGGGTGTCCTATTTTCTAAATAGTATATATTGTAAATTTAATTTTTTTGGGAAGCAACACAAGGCCTGTTCTCGAATAAAGCACTCAACTCGATTATAAATTAACTGTCAAAGTATAAGCCTCATAAAGCCAATTAGAGCTACGGAAATTTCCATGATAACATTAAATGTTAAGTAGAAGTACGAAATAACAAGTCGATTCCCGTGACAAAGGAGCTAATGCAAAGGGCTTTTGTAGAAAGTAATTTTCTGCTTGCAATGCATAGTACACATTCAGTACATCTCTTTGTAGCATATCGTGCATTGACGCATTGTTGTAGAACGTAAGGGAAAGAGAGAGAGAGAGAGAGAGAGAGAGAGAGAGAGAGAGAGAATAGCCCAATCGAATGTTCGAATGATAGTATATTTCTCTGCTTTTTTTTTTATATTTCTTTGCTCTAAAAGACAGTTATTTTCTGTACTCGGGCTAATTCTATTTTCTCTGACTGCTAATATTTCTGCAATACGCATTGATCGGTGAGGGCACATTGTATATTTTTGAAATAGCTCAACTGATTAATAAAGTACTGTGCGTACTAAGAATAAAATATTCGTTCAATTATGCACGAGAGTAACGTAGACGTAACGTATATAGAAAGTTCTCCTCGAAATTGCACATCGAAAGAGTAAGAGAGAGGGAGAGAGAGAGAGAGGTAAAATTGCTGCGTGCATAGGAATTTCATCTAAATATTTTCTATACGAACGTGTGCTTGGTAAATTAATTACATTTTGTACTATAATGAAGATTTTTTTTCTGACTATACATAATCGACTTTGATATTACAAAGCAAATTCGTAATTGCAGCGGAATGGCATAGTTTGCATAACTATGTAATCATTGATGACTGCAGGTCACGATCAACTTGCTTCGACAGTTCCAATCATTTGTAGTTGCTATAAATGATATTGTTCTAGATAAAGAAGACCTTATCAAGTTAATATTTACATTCGAAATTGGAATATATTAAGGTGTTATTAATTTCTTCACCTAACAAATATTTCATCAGAAATTCCGTGGTGATCAAGAAAAAGGGCATAGATGTAATTTTTGAGAGATTAAAATAAAGTGGAATATGTTCACTCTTTCCTTCTTGAAACATCTACACATCCTTTTACATTGAAATATTGATTTTTGTGGTAGAATATTCAATTTTTAAATAGCTGTAATTTTAATGGGATATCTTTAAACTGGATATAACTATGAAAAATATACGTTCGAACATTTCTACATAGCTTTTCAGTATACGTTGTGATTTCCGTCCGAGATTATATTGCAAGCTCAAAATTTGTAATTCAAAATTATGTTTGAATAAAATAATGAGATAATATGTAAATAAAAATAGGGGCACTTATACAGATTCAGACGGCAAGCTCAAAAACATTTGCATGTAGCTTAAGTTTATTCGAAAAATCCTATAGATACTTTCATTTTGAGAGTTAAAAATGGCAAATTGAAAGCCTACCGTTTTATCACCGAGATTGTGTACTCTGCAGGTGAGATAGGCAGACTTGCCGACAAGTGCTGTAACATTGGTCGGTAAGCGGAGATCGAAGCTGGGCTCAAGTTTCGTTTTGGCATCTGCTGAATTGTCGAGCAGCTGCTGCCGGGGTCTGTTCGCACTTGAGTGCCTCTCGGCATTGTCCGTTGACCGATCACCGAGGCTCAAGGTGTCTGTAAACACATACGTCCAATAGTCAATAGAAACATAAAATATATACATCTTTATTTTGAGCTATTTAATATGGAAATATTGTTGTAGATATTATATTCCATTCTTTTACTTTATGAAAATTTTATAAAATGTTCATTTTAATATCGATTGGTATTTGGATAAACTTTCTTCCGGATAGACAGCAGTCAACGTTAGTATGTACAAATTTTTTTTTTCTTGAAAGGAGAGAGAGAGGAAATTCTAACTTTGCAATATCTACGCGAACGGTTGCGATGCATTTAGTTAATCCTCAATGTGCAGATCATAAATGTATAAAAAGTGAAGAAACAAATTTTTTTGTATGGTAATTTAATATCAAGCGTTTACTGAAACCGGTTTATTGAAGATTTAAAACGAATGAATACCAGACGAGTAAAGGTTAGTTTGTCACTTTCAAACATGTTTAAGATAAAAGACCGAGTGTAGTGTGCAAATATAATATATAATAAATAACAAGATGTGCTTTCGAATATTTTGAATGTGAGAAAGAAGACTAAAGTATGCACATTTTTGTATATCGAATGAGAAATGGATGTGACAAAGTGTGATGCAATAATGCTCGAACACAGCGATATAATGAACGAGAGCTATTCACGCATACTCGAACGCTCATATATCCTTTTGTTGAAAGAAACGCGCAGCGTACACATGTAATGAATCAATAAAGAGATGCCTAAGCGTCACGATGCCGTAAGCGGTCCCATGGTGAAATGATCGAAGTCCGCGTAAATGCGCAATATGAGCGACGCGGCTATATACCCGTGTATGATATGTATGCATGAGAGCTTGATAATGTATTAAGAGGATTCATTGCAGTGCCATCACATATGTAGATCGAGACATCGAGTTCCAAAAGCTGGTAAAGAATTTAATTCCCCTTTCGGTCAGTCACATAAATTGGACGGCCATGTGGATCGTATTCAAGAACGTGTATTAGTGGATCAAGTGACAAGCGGGAATAGACGACATATCATTGGTGGAGGGCTTGGAAAAGCCCCATTCCAACCTTTCAGGAAAAAACTAGTTAGATAAGTTCCGGCTTTCGAATTTGCAGATCGTTTGTATTTCAGCCGCTTTATTAGGGTCATTAAACTGTATTTTTCCTGAAACTCGGGTCATTACAACGAATTTTGTATTTTTTTTGTTTAAGGTAGCTCTTTCGCGACTGTGTAATCCAATTGAGTGTATATTTTATGGATTTGAACAACTGTTTCCATTATCTTACAATTATTAGTTGTAAAATCATAATGCAATTTTTACGAAGTATAAAAAGTATTATTTTTACAAATTAATTAGTTTCTACAATAAAGATATTATTTTGAGTACATCCTTTGATTAGATTAATGTAATTAGAAGTGCGACAACGTCGCATCATTGCATTAGTATAAAATGCTTATACTAATTATTATATTAATGCGTTGAAAAGAAAGAAAATAAGCAATAACAGAAAAAGGAAGCACAGTCTTCTAAAATTCAAGAAGAGAAAGACTTTGTTACAAATAATTTTATAAAAATATTTTTATTCTATCATTGGCAGGTCGAAAAGACGACGAACTAACGACGGAGAAGAAAATAGACAGCTGTATTTAAAAAATTTGTATAACTTGCACGCAGGCACACATCTTCAGATAGTACATATACTCGTATGAAATATTAATTATTAGTACAAAGAATAATTTTTGCAACTAGAGTCGATCATCTGCGAGTTCTATTGAGAGAGACTTAAAAAATTCTATTATAATATTCTGTATAAAGTTTCCTTAAATATCTGATTTTCATGATAGTTTAACTCTTTTTTTATCAGTTTTAATTCTTTAGAAACAGTATCGTTCACCTTTTCTGGAGACTTATATGCTGTAACCTTAATATTCGATTATTGATGACTTATCAACTTGTAAAAGTAATAGACTTGATAAATAAACATGATAAAAGTAAGCAAAGGAAAAACTCGTTGGTAAAGTTTACTTATTAAAATATAGTTCAATAGATAACTTTCAAAATATTAACTAGAAAAAAATACTCTTTATCGTGATGATGTTCATACATAAAAGTTGGATTAATCTTGTAAAAATGTACTATTAGCAAATCGAGTTCAGAAAATCTTTTATTTTGATAAAAGGTTATCCGATGCGAATGAGAGCGATAGTTAAGAACAATAGTGAAGTAAGCGAAAGAGTATAATAAGAAAACTCAGTCGAAGCTTTGATTACAATGAGTATCGGATAGTAAACTAGTAATAATTCGAGACGATTCTTGTTCAAGAATCAGCGCTGATTGGAACGACCACATTAAAGGAGTCGAGTGTGAAGAAAACGATGCTGCCAATGAACGCGGCACAAAGAAGTTATCCGGATGACTTAGAAGAGATAAAAATAAAAGGATATCTATGGGTGTGCCTGTGTGTATACACATAAGCACTTTATGACATACACATGCGCGCGCGCGAGTTATAAAGCATCCTTAGGAATCATCGTTACAAGTTAAGAAAAACGACTTTCCAAATTTCCAGATTCAACGTTTTTCCATTGTTCTTTTTACGTAACTCAACAAAAAAACTTAATATGTGAATTTTTATTATTTCATCTTATGAAGCTAAATGTTTTTCGAGTCTTTCCAACGTTGATCTTTAATTAATTTTTTTAAATTCTTAGACATTGTTAATTAATGTTAAGCTTCGTAATAAAACCCGGAAATTTAAATTTACAAAATTCTCGAGCATCATCATAACGTGCACTGGTAATAACAAATACCCAATATAATGATTACAAAAATACTAAAACGGCAGCAAGCAACAGCTCTACAACGCATTCCTCCGTTATGCGAAGTTAAATTTGTGTTTCTCTAGCTGTGGTCTCTTGAAACAATCCAAATCAGCTGTCACAGTTTATCGCACGTAACTTCATTGAGAGCAGAGGTCTCGGTTCATCGGTAGGATACGATCGGCCAGCAGCAGCAGCAGCAGAAGAGTGAGAGAGATGAGACTCCCCGAGGCACGAGCTGCAAGTTCAGATAACGAGCAATCGCCTGCGCGCGATGCGTGCAAACCTCTTCCCTCCTTTATTCCAGATATATTACAGTGCGCGGTCATGCCCGTGCTCGTTCAAAGTTCAGTGCGCAGTTGGTTCGTATAGCTGCTGAACTGCTTCCGTGGCGCTTTTGGCTTTGTCGCGCGCTCAAACTCTGCGATGATGGCCACCGCTAGCCGAAGCATTTCAAGCGAGCTCAAGCTTCTCTTCATCCCATTTTTTTTCTTCGTCTCATTTCTTGCTATGCGAGCGAATTTTTTCTTTTTGACTATTTTCATGAAAAACTAACAAAAAGAGCTTGTTATCTTTTCACACCTGTATTTGCCTATTCTAGCCTTTTAGAAGTGGTACTGGGTTGATGAGTTACTGTGTGTCTCTCCATTTCGTCCCTTTTTTTGTCGTTCTAACAAAACGGAAAATGGCGCAAATTGAAACGACTGAAGTTTCAGTGTCTCTATCATTGCTGAGAGCAAAGTTAACGAAGGCTTTTGTTAGAATGAACAAGAAGAAAAATTCTTTTTGGCTGCGGGTGATTATAAACACAGCAAAAGATGCAAAGTTATAGATAGAAGTTTCAATAGTACAATTAATACAAGGGGGCAGACTGATCCATTTGATATTCAAAGTATACAAAGAAACAATTTTAATTAAAATAGTTTGAGAATAATTATGTATTTTTGCAAAATCAAATCATCCGTGCATTTTTAGACTATTAGCTAAATTCTAAAATGTACAAACCAATCAATAACGATGGGTGAGTTTACTATACAACTACCGACTGTTTAAAGTCTTTTATTTCGACTTTGATGTCGATCTTAAAAGTGACTTTACATCAGCTAATAAAATAAAATGAATACAATGAAAGTACAGAAGAAATTTCAAAATGAAAATATCAATAAGATAAATATAATCTGTGAGATTATGTAATTAAAATGAATCATAAATTTTGCAGTTATAATATATCATAGAAATTCTATTTAATCATCAGTCACAGAAGCCACAATAGTGGCTACCTGATTTCTTTTATTTTTTTTATTTTATTACAAATTCTAATATCTTTTGCATTTTTAAAACATAAGAGACTTTTTTCTGAATCTATAACATTTGTTAGTTTATAATTATTTATAACTGTTATAAACATATTATATTTGCACTTTAAAATTGAAAAATATTGAATTGTAATCCTTTCAGAAACGCGATTCAATCTATTTTCGAAGTACAAATGTACGGTCCCCTCGTATTTTTCGACACTAATTCTGAATGCGATGTAAAAAATAAAATAATTTCAAAAATAACTCTTATAATAAAGTATAATCTACATCTATTTTCATAATATTAATTTTTTTTATTTATTGATTTATAAATTTTTTTACAATTATTACATTAAAATTTTTTGATTTAAAATTACTTTCTTTTAACCTTTAACACATGTGTGTAAGCTCTATAGCTACAGGTGTATCATATGTTTGAGGAACATTGTTGAATAGACAAAGTGGCCGGGGACATTCCTAATTTTCCATCTCTAACGTTAGAAGAGCCGAATTGAATAATCACTTCCGCGCTTGGGCCGAGGGGTTAGCTTGAAGTATGCAATCACTGCTAAACACGGAGACAACTAATTGGATTACGAAAACGTTTACAAATATTATATTTGTGAAAAACTGTTTATGAGATAATTATTCATAATGGCTTTATCAATTACTGTTCATTTTTAATTTTCTATTTTTAGGTTATAGATATATTTTATAAATTTTAACAAAAAATTTATCCATAAACAACAAATTAAAATGTATATTCTTATCTATTTTTACAGCTAAATACAAATTCGACATTATAATTTCTTCATAAACCTTTAGTTTTTTGATACTGTAAAAATTCACTACAAAAATGAATTAGGTTTCGTGTTGCAATATTGAAAGCCTGACAATCAGTAG